GCTGTCGATCGCCGGATCGGCTTTCACCGTGGATGAAGCGGAGTCCATCCCAGGGTCGTCACATGTGGTTAAAGTTAAAGTAAAGTTGACATGTACTTGCAAAGTTACTTATAGTCAGTAGAATGTCTGTTGGGAGACCATCACAATAAAAATGTAGCAGATATTAATCAGACAATCTACTAATACTCTAATGACAGTTTGTTGACATGTAGGTGCAAAGTTACTTATTGTCAACAGAATGCTTAAAAAGGACCATCAAAATAAAGTGTTACCGTAATTCTTTGCAACAACTACAAATTGATAGCATGAGAGAATCACCCTGCATTTACATTAAACTTTGATGCCAGCATATAGCTAGCTATGCTAATGTTGATAATATTAAAATATAAAATACACATTGTGACATGACATTAGATTTTAATTAGCACAAACTAAGACAAAAGCTAAGTAGCATGTTTCCTGGTTTCCATAAACTAAGAGAGCACATGATGAGTGTGGTTTTGTCTATATTGTGGGAACCAAATGAGACTAAAATCTAAAATCATCTACATTGCGGGAAGCAACCAGCATTCACATGTTGGGGCTCAGAGGAGTTTGCTGGTGGCCTTGCCTCCCAGCAGTCATAACATCTTGGGTTACTTGACTGTAATCCTGTTCCCTGATAACTTGGCCATCTTATTTTCATCTTATTTTCTCTAAGGCTCTGGTAAAGCCTTAGAGGACGCAACCCCTTGGTTGAATGGGCCCTAACTCCTAGTCAAAATCAGCCAGGCTATGTATCTTGTGTCCATGCGCTACTGTCAGTCACGGAAGCCTTGCGGATTGCAAAAGCTGATTCCAAATTATCAGTTCTTATTCTGCTGGATCAATCTGCTGCTTTTGACACTGTCAGTCATCAGATCCTCCTGTCTGCCCTCTCATCACTGGGCATCACAGGGATTCCACTTCTCTGGTTTGAATCCTATCTCACTGGTAGGTCTTTCAGGGTGGCCTGCGGAGGGGAGGTATCCAAAGCACATCAACTGGTCACTGGGGTTCCTCAGGGATCAGTTCTTGGACCCCTCCTCTTCTCCATATACACTACATCACTGGGTCCCATCATACAGGCACATAATCTTTGATGACCAACTGACCTTCAAGGACCACATTGCAAAGAATGCTCGATTTTGCAGGTTTGTATTGCACAACATCAGAAAGATCAGGCCCTTTCTATTACAGCTGAAAACTCATCTCTTTTGGCGCTACTTGACTTCATCCTAAATTAAAAAATAAAAAAACTTTCTCTTCATTTATTCCTTCCCTTTCTAGCTTGTACTTATTTGAACAATGCCTAAAACTTGGTATTACAAGCACTTCCTGTGTCTGTTTGCCTCTTTAAGAAAAATCGCTTTATGTATTCCCCAATTGTAAGTCGCTTTGGATAAAAGCATCTGCAAAATGATTAAATGTAAATGTAAATGTGTATGGCGAAGGGCAGAAGGCTTCAAGAACGACCGGATGCATGGTCAAGAATGGAACTTTATGAAGATAAGGGTGAGGGTGCAAAATAGCCTTGACCAACCCATGGAAAAGGTCTAAGCAGGATGGTGGGACTGACAGAGCCTGCAAATCCCCAATTCTCTTTAGAGAAGTAACAGCCATAAGAAAAAAACATCTTTAGAGTCAGAAGCTTTACAGACAAGTGCTGACTCTAGTGGTTCAAAAAGGGTACCAACCAGACCCTCAAGCACTAGAGCTAAGTCCCACAAAGGGGCTGTTGCTCTGGCGGACGGCCTCAACCGCTTAGCTTCATGAAGCGGGCAACTAGAGGGTGTTTCCCTATGGGGCCCCCATCAATCAGAGTGTAGCAAGCTGAAATGTTGGCCACATGGATTCTGAGAGTACCAGGACATGTACCTGAGAACAGTTTTTCCTGCAGGAATCCCAGCACTGAAACAACTTGGCCGTGAACTGGGTCTGTATAATTTGTCCTACACCAACTTTTGTGCTATCTGAGGGCATAACTTATCAGAATCAGAAAGAGCTTTATTGCCAAGTATGTTTGCACATACAAGAAATTAGTTATAGTGTCACAAGCTTCCAGTACACGGAGACAACAATAACCCACAGATAATAAAAATGAGATGTGAATAAAATACACATGCATAAATATAAACCACAAAAAAATAATAAATTGTATGTACAGGTGTGCTATAGATGGAGTAGGAATAGAATAAAATAAAATAAGTTGTAGGGATGTACTAGGGTTTAGGGTGATAAATAAGTATAAGGTTATTGCACAATGGGAGAACATTAACTGTTCATGAGGTAGATTGCTTGGGGAAAGAAACTGTTCTTGTGCCTGGCTGTCCTGGTATTCGGTGCTCTGTAACGCCGACCAGATGGCAAAAGTTCAAAAAGGAGATGGCTTGGATGTGATGGATCCAGAGTGATTTTCTGAGCCCTTTTCCTCACTCTGGATTTATACAGTTCTTGGAGGGTAGGCAGGGGCGCACCAATAATCCTTTCAGCAGTCCGAACCGTTCTCTGTAGTTTTCTGATGTCTGATTTTGTAGCTGAACCAAACCAGACAGTTATTGACGTGCACAGAACAGACTCGATGACGGCTGAGTAGAACTGTTTCAGCAGCTCCTGTGGCAGGTTGAATTTCCTCAGCTGGCGAAGGAAGTACAACCTCTGCTGGGCCTTTTTAACAGTGGAGTCAATGTGAGTGTCCCACTTCAGGTCCTGAGAGATGGTGGTGCCCAGGAACCTGAATGACTCCACTGTCGTTACAGTGCTATCCATGATGGTGAGTGGGGGGAGTGCAGGAGGATTCCTCCTGAAGTCCACGATCATCTCCACAGTTTTGAGGGTGTTCAGCTCCAAGTTGTTAAGACTGCACCAGACAGCCAGCTTGCTGGGCCTTTTTAACAGTGGAGTCAATGTGAGTGTCCCACTTCAGGTCCTGAGAGATGGTGGTGCCCAGGAACCTGAATGACTCCACTGTCGTTACAGTGCTATCCATGATGGTGAGTGGGGGGAGTGCAGGAGGATTCCTCCTGAAGTCCACGATCATCTCCACAGTTTTGAGGGTGTTCAGCTCCAAGTTGTTAACAAGTTGTTAACTTATTCTAGTGGAGCGAAACCCTAGCATTTAGAATAATCTGTACTACATCATTTGGAAGCCCAGCATCTCTAAGTTGGTGCCTTTAAGGGGCCAAGCAGGAAGGTTCCAGAGCTCGGGCCGGGGATGAAATACCATCCCCTGCGTTTCCCTGGCTATGAGCCATAACTGAAAAGGTCTCGTGTAGGAGGCTTAAAGTTATCACCATAAGACCTAGAACTTCCTTAAAGTAATGGACAGTATCTTTCCTAGCCTGATATTCTTCAGGGTGTTTAGAATGGCTTCGACACATGCAGGAGTAAGCTGTGCCCACATTGTGGTCAAATCCCATACAATCCCTTAATAAGTTGTCCTCTGGGCAGGAGAGAGAACACTTTTCTTGGCATGGAGTCTCAACCCCAGAGACGTGAGATGAGCAGGGATGACATCCCGATGTCGCAGCACAAGTTCTTGAGAGTGCACAGCAAAATCCCCTGTGTTAATTTAACACTCTGAGTGTGGACTCATATAAACACTGAAGCAGTGTTGAAGTAACACTGAAGCAGAGTTAAAGTTAATGAGATAATTAGGTGATTAATTAAGTGATGATTGACCATTATTGAAGACACCTGATGTTAACAAGCAGAATCACCAAAGGAGAAAATCCACATTTTTAAGTCACCATTATAGTGGTCAGTGTTTGCATTAGTTGGGATCTTGACCCTTACATTTCTAACATTAGATTTTGTTTAACAGCGAGACAAGCCAGAGGAAAGATGATCATGTGGCATTGATTATGTTTTGAAATAATCATCATGTAGAGACCTGAATAACTAAGTTAGCTTTTTTTTTATTGATTACATCAACACTGTGAACAATATAAGATCTGGCATTTTTGGCATAATCAGTTTTTAAAACTTATTTTGATCAAAAACTTAAAAAAATATCTTTAATTTAGACACACAGACGTCAAGAATCAGTGTGAGAATCACAACAACAGTGACCATCAAAAAAGCATGTTGTAGCCAATCAAAACACCATAGCTCATCCATGACTCCCATTGTGCATTGCAGCATGAATAAATTATGAGCTGAATTGTCTTTGTAATTTCTTTTATTCTTACTATTTTTTTTTTGGCTGTTTTATGTGACTTTTTAGTAGCTTGTTTTGTTAAGTTCAGAGTCGATCTGTTTATATGAATATGCTGTTTGTCACCGTTGTTGAGATTCATACGCTGATTCTTGATGTCTGTGTGTGCCTAAAGGAAAGACTTTTTAAAAGTTTTTTTTTTTTTTTTTTTAATCAGAACTTCTTGTAATAAATCCTTCCAAAATTTATAGAAAATACAGGATCGTTTGCTGTGGCATCACAAGGCTGTTATAATCAATAAAGGAAATATAACTCAGAGATTAGATTCTAAATGAGTTCAGTGATTCAGGTCGAATAATGTTAAAACATAATCATCACCACCTGATGACTTTTGCTCTTGGCATGTCTAGCTGTTATAACTCAGTTACAGCAACCAAACAAAATCTAATATAAAAAAAATGTAAGGGTCAAGATCCCAACTAATACAAACACTGACCACTATAATGGTGACATAAAAATGTATTTTCTCCTTTAGTGATTCTGTTTGTTAACATCAGGTGTCTTCAATAATGGTCAATCATCACTTAATTAATCAGCTAATTATCTCATTAATTTCAACACTGCTTCAGTGTTTATATGAGTCCACACTCAGAGTGTTAAATTAACACTGGGGATTTTGCTGTGTGGACCAAAATCAGCCAGTCATCTATGTAATTTAAAATGTGGATGCCCTGGAGCAGCAATAAAGCCAGTGCTGCATCCATATATTTTGTGTATGTGCGGGGTGACAAGGCTAGGCCAAATGAAAGAACATGATACAGGTAAGCTTCGCTGAATCGGATTTGAGAAAAAATCATTTTGATTGTCAGCATTTTGAACTTGTTCTATGTAAGTTCTGAGGTAGCGGTTCAATCCACGAAGATCCAAAATTGGACGCAACCCCCCACCTTTTTTGGAAACCAGAAAATACCGGCTGTAGTAGCCCGACTCTCTGTCTGGGAGGGGAACATGTTCTATGACCCCTTTGTCCAGCAGAGCTTGTAATTCATGTGTCAACAAATGAGCTTTTTCCAGTTTCACGGTAGTGGAACTGGGTGGCTGACAGCCCTGACACTTGAGCACAACAAGGGAGAAACTTGTCGAAAGCTTCTTTGTGCCGCTTTGCCTCCTGGAACCTACTGATGACTATGCTGACAGAGTCACCAAATAGGCCAGATGGCAACATGTGGGCATCAAGGAGGAACACCCTGACCTTGATGCCTGTGAGGTTAAGCCACAGGTGCCTCTCCGTGGTGACCATAGCAGCCATAGAAAAGCAGATGGCACAAGCTGTCTGCTTAGTCATCTGGAGAGACAGACCTGTGGCCTGGCGAAGTTATAAAAATGCCTCCTCCTCAATACCCCTGCTCGCCTCAGATCTTTTAGAAGGTTAGCCTGTTATGCCTGCAAAACCACGATGATGTACAGCATGTAGATGTTACTCTGGATGGCTTGGTGGGGAGCATTGGTTTTTAAGTGATGATGCACTCCCAGGGGGAGAGGTAGCCTGTGAGCATCTCTTCCACCTGGGGCATCATCGTGTGCCTTTGCATCCAGGATAGTCGAATGAGTCAACAGGACTGTGACTGTGAGTAAAAGGGCACCAGTAGTATACATCATCCTCTTTTGTCTGAAAAGATGTGACCAGGCAGTCCGAAGCATGACAAGTTGCGCTGTCTTTAAATGGTATGTTCCGGGAACTGAACAAAGCTTATATCAGGGTGATGAACCTGAACCTGTCTCATTGGCAAAGAGAGTTACTGTAGCTCGGTATTAACCAAAACTGGTTGTTTCCACCCAGTTCTCGGGACTCAGAACAACAAAAAAGGGCATGCAAACGTTGCAAAAGAAAACCCTCTTGTCAATACTTGGAGAACTGTGTGAGCTTGTTTCGTAACACAGGTTTCAAGAAAACATACCAAGCTGTTCAAATGAGGAGAAGAAGACCTTGCTTAACGACCCTAAATTGGGTAAGGTCCTAACTCATGCCCTAGTGAAGACATCACTATTCAACTCTGCACACAACCCAAGAATGTGGCAAACACTCAAGACTGGAAGGGCAAAGGAAGGAGCACAAGAGGAAGAGAGATGTTATTTCTCCTGAGCAGTTCTATAGCACTCAGCTAGTGAAGCAGAAATCATGATCACAATTAAAACATGATTCATTGTGTAGCCCTATCCGAACAGAACCAACAATGAACTGACTAAATCATGACCTGTTAATCACTGTGAGGCTGGTTTGACAGTCTGCGTTGGATTAAGTACTACAGAAATAAAGGTGACTTGACTTGACTTTAAAGTGGCCAGATTTAAACCCTCTCTCACTTCCAAGCCTTATAGATTGACATCTTCATAAGTGAATAAGGCAAGGGTCTCCAAACCTGCAGATTTCAGCTTCAACACCAATCAAACATGCTTGAACCAGCTAATCAAGGTGTTCAGGGTTACTTGATAATTACAGGACACATAAATGTGCTGGAGCAGGGTTGCAACCAAAGTCTGCAGGATGGTAGTTCTCCAAGAGCAGTGTTGGAGATCCCTGGAATAAGTCACGCTTTACAGTCATAGAGCATGCATATCATGAGTCAGTGTTTAAAAATAATTTAAATGAAGCACACTGATAGAATTGTGATGTCACTGCTAGTTCCTGTCTTCTGCTTTGTGACTGTAGCTGTGTTGAGCTTTACTGTCAGTCCCTATCTTATCACTCTTTGCTATTTAAATTCCTAAATAGTAGTAGGCCTCCTTCAGTCGTTGTCAACTATGGAAGATGTGCCCTGACATGAAGTCGTGGTGATGCATCTAGAACACCACCGCCTGTGACTGGTAAGGTCAGTGCAGGAGAGACAGACTGCTGCAGCAGATGCATGTGTGTCTAATTGTGGCGGTGTCATTCAGAGAGCGTCCTTTATGTCTGGCTCTCTTTTCCTCCGCTAAGGTCTGGATCTGTTCTTCCCCCAATCTAAGCTGTATCTGAAGGACACTGCGCCACCTTTTGCTTTCAGCGGCAACGTCTTCCCAGTTTTCTTTATTGATGTCTACAGCTTTCATATCAGGCTTGCAGACATCTTTGTCATGCAACTGGGGACGGCCAACAGATTTTTTGCCAGAGGCTAATTTGCTATACAGCATGTCCTTTGGGATCTTGCATTGTCTGAGCAACGTGTAATCAGCATCAAAAGCCAGATTGTCACTGATGGTGGACCCAAGGTATGTAAACTGTTGGACAACATCAAGGGCGTGGTTGTCGATCGTAATGACAGGAGTATCCACATCTTGGCTTAGCCCTTTTGCATTCTGCAGGCTAATGGTTAGTCCGAAATCATTACATGCCTAGAAAAAGCTATCCGTGAGGTGCTGAAGTTGTTCAGTGTGTGAGATAATGGCAGCATCATCAGCAAGAGCAGATCTCTAATGATGACCTTGCGCACCTGGGTCTTTGCTTTCACTCTTGCGAGGTTGAAGAGTTGCCCATCTGGTCTGGTGTGTAGATACACCTCTTCGGTGGCATTCCCAAAAGCATGTTTCAGGAGCATGGAAAAATAGATCCAAAAAGGGTGGGAGCAAGGACGCAGCCTTGCTTTACACCACTTTGATGTCGAAGGGTTCTGATATGTTGTCTTCATACTGGATGGTTGCCTTCATGTCATCATGAAGTGATCTGATTAGGCTGTGCAGCCTTGGGAGGCATTCAATTTTCAAAAGGATGTTTAACAGCTAAATCCTGCTGACCAGGTCAATGCCTTGGTGAGTTTAATAAAGATGATGTAAAGGGGCTCCTCTCTCCATTTTTCCTTCACTCCAACACTGGCAGAGAACATCATTGAGGGGCTGCAGGAGTGAATTCTTTCAGCTCTTGAGGAGGTCTGGGGGATGCCATCACTGCCAGGTGCTTTGCCACTGGCAAGGCAGTCAACTACCTTTCAGAGTTCCTCTAATGATGATTCAGCATCTAGCTCCTCCATGATGGGCAGAAGTTCAATGGCATTGAGTGTTTACAACATTCTCCCTGGAGTAAAGCTCTGAATAGTATTCTACCCATCTCTACATCTGTTTGCCTTTGTCTGTTATTAGTTCCCCACTTGCGGATCCGGGGGGGAGGGGGGATTAGTTTTACTCTGATTTGGACCTAAAGCTCTATTGATGCCCTCATACATTCCTCCGATAAATATGCGATGAATGTGGTTCTTTCTCTGAAGTGTAACAGTGGTCAAGAGTATTTGGGCCTCTGATTGATAGGCAGATCCCCTGTGATAATAGACAGATCATCAGGGTGCCTGTTCTCATATTTAACGATGACATAGTACAATTTGTTCAAAGTGCTCTCTGTTCTTTTGGGGTGGAATATAATCTGCTGCCATAATCACAGCTGAGAACTATCTCAACAGATAGAACAGTCAGTATTTTATCAGAAGGTATTCAATAAAATTTTCTATCCTTTCAAGACAACCAGTGAGAGCCAGTAAAATATGTCAGTATCATGTGCGAAACTGTTTTGGCTTTAAAAGATTATTACTTCCATCAAAATGAGACTGATCAAATACCTAAATGTAAGATATTTATGTGATGTGCTAAAAGAGCAGCCCACCTCACTGACACATAATCTTTAAGATTCTGTGACACTCCCAACAGCTTACAGTAATTAGTCATGTATGTGACATTTGTGAGCGTGAATTTCTTCTTGTAGATCTTTCCAACATCGCAATCCTGAAAATACAGTTTAGAAACGTGATTATTCAGTTATTTTTCTTTAAAATTTGAAACACATTACAAGTAAAATCAAGTATTAAAGGGGTCATATGATGCTTTTTTAAAGATCATTATTTTGTGTATTTGGTGTAACAGAATATGTTGACATTCTTTAATGTTAAAAACCACATTATTTTTCAAATACTGTACATTATTGTAGGTCCTCTATGCCCCTCTCTCTCTTTCTCTCTCTCGCGTGCTCTCTCTCTCGCTCTCTAGCGCTCTCTCTCTCGCACTCTCTCTCTTTCTCTCTCTCTCGCGCTCTCTCTCTCTTTCTCTCTCTCTCTCTTTAAAGTTTTGTACTTGGCATGATGTAAAGATGATGGCTGCATGTAAATATTTAGGCTGCGTTTACAATGGCACAAAAAATCTGATTCTTTATTCACATGTGACACAAGTAGGATATTGTTGCACAGGTGTAAACACAAGTATCTGCACAAGATCCGATTTTTAGCATTCTGAGCCACTTCCAAATGTGTTTTTAAATCAGATATATTTCCAATCTGGACATCTGACCTATGTCTAAACACTTAAATCTGATTCCCAGTGGAACTCCAAGCCATCACAAGTTGAGGGAGACACATTTGCCAACAAAGATAACTTTTCTTAATGTCAAATTATGAAGAAATTATGTTGTCTTATGCACTCACACAAAAACGCAACTTCTTTTATTGAGGTGGTCTGCATTAAAGTCAAAGAGCCTCTTGACGTGAATTATAGAAATAATTTTATATACAGCTGTTCAAAACTTGAGGGTCAACCATGTCACAGAAAACGTCATTCACCAAAGGAATCATTAAGTTTGGGTGGGGATTCATGTAAATGCAGATATCGGACACAAGTCATGTCTTAAGTGTAATGCAGGAATGACAAAAAATGGGATAAGGTATAAAAAATAAAACGAATCTGTGCTTTAAGCCTTGCAGTGTAAACGCAGCCTTAGTGAACTGATGCTGTGTATAAAGAACCATATTAGACTAAAACATCATGGAAACTTTGCATGGAAATTCTTTTCCGCCCTCATGGCAATGCATATTGTATGTTATTGTCTTATCAATTAAGAATATGTGCAATATTTTAACAGACAGCATGACTTAAGAACCTAAGTTTTGAACAAAGCTATTATGATGGAAAAAGGCTGCATTCGGTACCTTAAACAGAATAACCTTTGGTTTGCTGATGAATGGTGGTCCTTTTGATTCTCTACTCTTTACAGTCTTTTTTGCCAATTTTGAAACCAAACTTTTGTTCATGTCCGTCTTTATGGTGGTATAAGATGTTTCAAGTTGAATATTTTCACCTGATGGTGCCTAGGGGGACAAAAAAAAAGTAATTGTAATTGATATTTATTTTATCAAAGTATAATTAAAGCATCATTGAGGGGAGGGGAAAATTAAAATGAGAGATTGCTATGCATTGCCAGCCAACCGACATTACTACTACTAATCATTATTTCCATACTGCCCTTGCTCCACTCCTGCTGCAGTGCTTAATTTGTAAATTGCAAGGTCCTGGAACAAAGCGGGGTGACGGATCCGGCATGTGATTAGAGGAGGGAAAGGTAACGGAGCATTCGCGCAATAACATTGGTGGGCCAGCTAAAGTGATTAACTGCGTGCATCAGTTGCTTTTATTAGGGTTTGTATGGTCATAGAAAACTTGGAAAAGCCATGAAATTTTAAAAAAGCATTTCTAGGCCTGGAAAAGTTGCATTCGGTCTTGTGACAGCAGGCCAATTAGGAGCTGTTCACATGTCGCATCTTTTGTGCGGTCAAGTTTGTTATTTCAAATGTAGATGTACAGCAAGCATGCATATATTTCACAAAAAATCTTCTATTATGTGCACGCTTGCTATTGGTCAGCACGAACATCTTTCATTGGTGCGTGAGGAGGGAGATCTGCCAAAATGAGGTGCTAGATCGGATTACAGAGGTGCTGGATCCGGCTTGTTCAGGCACAAATTAAGCCCTGACCTGCTATTTCAACATGAAGAATGTAGTCTGCAGAAGATCACAGTTGCAATCTCAGAGCAAAGAGAGCATAAATTTGAGACATGCCAAAGGTAGTGAGAATCCAGTAGCATGATAGAAGACCTTTGTTTGTAACAGAACCAAAGCTCACTGTGTTTCCAACAAGCACTGGCGTTTTTTTATATCTAATAAGTGATGTTGACTTCTGATGAAACTTAATGAAATCAGTCAGTGTATTTCATTTAAATTGTTACCGTATAATCTTTGTGTTTGTGTTCCCAAAGGCCGGTGAACTCCGGCTGGGCCAGGCTCATCTCTCCTTCATCTTCATTCTCTATTTCTCCACACTCTCCCCACTTGAGTTCTGCAGAATCTAAAGAGGAACTGACATCACTGTCGCCAACACTGTGGGACCTGACACAAGATGCTCTGGAACTTGACATTACATGTCTTTCCTGAATTAAACACAACAAGTGGACAAAAAAGAAATGGTCAGCAAACCAGTATGTTCAACACTCGATCTCACAGCAGTTTACAAACCAGCCTCTTTTCTGTCAAAAGCTATTGAAAAGAGTTGTGTTCAATCAGCTCTCTGCTTTTCTCTCCCAGAACAGACCTTTTGTTTGTGTTCTGTTCCGGCTGGTCCATTGTTTCATTGCTTTCAAGTGTATCTTGTAATAAATACGTGTATATATAACCCGTGTACATATAACCTGCATATTTCATTTGTTTCTGGTCTAGCCTTGTTTTATGTAACATGTTGTCGGTCTCTTGCTACTCATTCAAGTCAAATCAAGTCAAGTCATGTTTGTATCTGTTCATTTAATTAAAGAAACTGCACTTGGGTTCTCACTTTAACTCATCACAGTGGACATTTGTTACAGAAAGCTAGACCAGCTAAAATAAACTCAGCCGACATGCCAGAGCCTCGTCACATTATGGCAACCATGCCAGAGTTTTCACATGTCATGCCCACTATGGCAGGGTCCTCCCACATCATGGCCGCCACGACCAAGATTTCTTCATGTCACGACAGAACCATGTCATGTCATGGCTGCCACACTAGAGCCTCATCACATCATGGCCACTGGATCTCCCTCTGAGCTGACGAGACTGGCATCCAGTGTGATGGATCCACCTCTGAGGTCAGTGCAAGCAAAGAGTCCCGGAGGTCCCACTGTCTACGGTCTTATTTTTGTGACATTAATGTGGTCACAATAGTGACAAAGTAAACATGTTAGAAAACTAGGTTAGGCCTATGCATCACTCATAATTTTCCCATTCACAGTAATCCATACTTTCTATCATTTAATTTTTTTATGGCATAACCTCCGTATGTATAATATTCTTAAATATTGGATAGTAGTAAAAAAATAGTAAAAAAGCAAGCATACTTCAAGCACTGCCATCACTGTAATAATTTACTGTAACAAATTTGACTGGGTTGTAAGCAAAATTCCTATTACTGCTGCAAGGTAATGGCATTTTGGTAGGCACTATCAACATAGGCACATAGGCATACTGTACACGGATGCACTGCTGCTCCATCCTCTAGGGCAGTGGTTCTCAATTCCAGTCCTTGTGTACCACCGCTCTGCACATTTTGTATGTATCTCTTATCACTTCAGATGTTTGTTCTAAACCGTAAGTGCCCTGCGAAAAGTGGACTTCACAGGATATTCCGCCATGATTCCAGTTTGAAGGGAGCGTATATGTTCCATTCAAATGGCATTAAAGTGTGCGAGACCTGAATTTAAATTTTATTTATTTACAGAGGTATATTATGTCACACTTTACACTTCTCTAGTAAGTTTTGTCTGTGTGTGAAGATGCTGCAGGCCGTGGCGTAGCGCAAATCCATGAATGAATGTTCCGAAGTGAAGTAAACTTTAACGGATTTCCAGTGCTCAGGGAGTAGGGAGCAAAGAACACTGTGTAGGGACCATGTAAATCGGAACAGTTCATGCATGGAGCTCTGTTCTAATGAGCTGGTTATCTGAATCAGATGTGTTAAATAAGAGAGACATAAAAATTACATTTCACATGTTACAAGAACAGTCATCTTCCACCTTAGAAACAATGCCAACCACAGAACATTATGTGTTTCTGATGCATATTCATGCATTCATGACCTCAAAGTTGTACTGCATACTCCATCAAAAGCTACAATTTGTTCAAAACACAACTGCTAAAGTTCTTACCAGGCAAACAAATGATCAAAAGGATGGGCCCCAAATGAGTTTGATTCCTTTCCCTCCAACACCTCACCACTGACTGACTGACTGACTGACTGACTGACTGATTGATTGATTGATTTAATTTAATGCTAGATTCCCAGTTCATTCTTTCATTCATTATTCTAATGAAATACATTTATGGTGAGTGTCACGCTAAGCAATCACTGGTACCTCTCTCCTTGTAAGTGCAGATGGAAGCAGCAAGTTCTCGTGAAGTTTCTCATCAAGTTTTCTCTCATGGCTCAGTACAGGAGATTTTCTACACCTTTCCTTCATGTTCTGTTCCAAAAGCAATTTAGCCACAATTTCCATTTGCCCCACTCTCTGTGTATCCTCAAATTCCCTTCAATGCAAAAAAGATAACAGATATGAAAGAGAAAGAGGGAGGGAGAGAGAGAGAGAGAGAGAGAGAGACAGAGATGTAAAAGTATACAACAATTTTTTTTTAAGTGTCTAGGTTACACATATATTTATTGGAAATTCTCACTCAATTTTCTTGTTGAAGCCTTCCTGCAGTCTTTGTCGGTGAATGAGTTCAGTGCTGTTCAACCCTTTGGCCTCCAGCGACTCTCTCAAGATTTGCTCTCGCTCTCTCTGTTTCTGTTCATAGGCTTTCTGTCGTTGTTTTCTAGCACACATAGTTTCCTAAGTATATGAAGAGAAGATCAATCAATGGCTTATACTGACACATACATTACTGGTGGCCCACCAATAAAGCAAAGTTCTTTGGGTTACGTGTCCAGTGCTGTTGTGGATACACATATCATTGACACATTTGCCCTGTGTGAGACATACAATTAATCACTATCAATACTCTTTTGTCTCTCATCTGTACATATTTACACTTACCTGAATCAGGTTGCTCCATCAACATTTTTCACTACAGTAATATTTACATCTTACTCTCCTTGCATCAAATTCTTTCTCACTAAAGGGATAGTTAATTCAAAAGAGGCCACAAATACACTGCAGCTAAATTCGGTTGTTAATTCAACTGTGGTTGTCTATTCAACTGGCATCCATATTCTACAAAAATTCTATGCAATGTGTACAGAACCAAAATGAACAACTAGTTGTTATGAGTCTTGGTATGAGTCTTGACTCAGTTGTGTTGGCAGATCTTGCTAGAAAAAAATGGCAAACAAGAACAAGCCTATAATATACTTCTTTCTAATTCAGCCCTTTCCAAGGGTTCCACCAGTAGTGGGCACTCATGCAAGTTTGCGAGTGTTTAAAATATGACCCCAAAATTCAAAGAGTAATTGTAAAAAATATATACAATATATATTTAATCATATAAATAATATATATATATTTTTTTTTTACTTCTCATCTATACATTAATGCTGTGTTTTGGGAGATATAAAGTACATTTGTACCTGTTTACCACAAAAATCCTCAACTACTCCATTAGCTTGCATGTGAAATATTACATTTTTATGAAAAAATCATTTAAATGATAATCTAAATTTAATTTGTTAAAGTTGTTTCTGGATATTGACCTAGGTGTTAGGTGTAAAATTCTGCCATCTGCTGGTTAGAGAAAAATTAGTTTTTGAAAGAATAGTATAGTTAGGTCCATATATATTTGGACACAAGCACAATTTGTATTATTTTAGCTTCTGACCAAAACAAATTCAAGTTACAGTTATATAATGAATATGGGCTTAAAGGGATAGTTTACCCAAAAATTCTGTCATTAATTACTCACCCTCTTGTCGTTTCAAACCCGTTGTCACAGATCGGCCAGACTCAGCCACCTCCCAATCACAGCAAACACCTTCACCTGAATACTGATCACACGCACCTGTCACAAATCTGCAATCATCATCAGCTCCCCTTCAAAAACACACACCTCACTTCACTCCAGGGTCCGGTCTCATTGATTCGAAGTGGACTCATTCTCTCTCTCGACATCCGTGAGATTCAGCTAAAGTATTCTCTACTCTTGAACTTACCTCCTGTGTTTCCTTCAGTGTGTTCTCCTGTGTTCCTCTCCTTAGTCTGCTCCTGTCATCGGCTCCGTGGATTCCCATCGACCCCCTCATTGAGGTGTGTGCTGTCCTCTGTCACTCTTCCACGATCTCCTGGAAGTCCAGTAATGGTGTTACACTCTTCATCTACTCTCAGGACTTTAATATTGGATTTATACTCACCTATCCATTACATCTACTTCACCTGCTGAAAATAAACAACCATTGTGTTTTCTAATCCTCTGTGTGAGTCTCCATCCGTAACAGAAGACCGGACCCACACAGATTCGGCAGGATGAGTTCTCCCCACGGCATGCAATCGGCTGCGTGTTTCTCCGTCCCCGCTCGCCGGGATCTCCCCTTCTACGAGTACGCCGAGGAGTTTTGCTAGCTCGCCGCGGTGACGACAATGGATGACGCCACCCTCAACCATCTGTTCTGGCTTGGGGTCAACTCCCATCGCCCCTTGGACCTCCCAGACACCACTGGACTGTGTTGGAGAGAAGGTGTCTTCCGGTGTCTGGGGAATGTCCGGTTCCGAGCCAGAACCAGTCCGCCGCCGTCCGCAGCTCACCCAAGGCAGCTGGCAGTTCCCCAGTCAAGTCAGCTAAGCGTTAATGTGGTAAGCCCAGGAAGGGCTCCTGGTTCCCCGTTTAGCCCAGGAAGGGCTCCTGATACCCAGTTAAGCCCAGGAAGGGCTTCTGATCCCCAGTTAAGCCCAGGAAGGGCTCCAGCCCCAGAGCTCCAGTGTCGGCTCCAGCCCCAGAGCTCGCTCCAGCGTGTCAATCAGCGATAATGGACATGGCGCTGGCCCCGGGGTTCTCGGCACCCGTCCTCTCGTCAGAAGCCGCTCTAACACGCCTTCGACTCCTTCGTCTCCTTCGCCTCCGCTGGTCCCGTCCAGCTCTCCTTCGTCTCCTTCGCCTCCGCTGGTCCCGTCCAGCTCTCCTTCGTCTCCTTCGCCTCCGCTGGTCCCGTCCAGCCCTCCAGTGCCCGCGAACCGCCATGGCCTCCTGAGTCCCCTGAACCGCCATGGCCTCCTGAATCCCCTGATCTGCCATGGCAACCCGAACTGTCTGCTCCCCCATGGCCTCCTGAACTCCCTGATCCGCCCTGGAGGCCTCCCGTGTTTCCGTCCTGTACCAGCCTCCAGGGCGCCCACCCTCCCTCCCCAGTGGAATTGTTATGGCGTGAGACGCGCCTTTCGGGAGGGGGGAGTACTGTCACAGATCGGCCAGACTCAGCCACCTCCCAATCACAGCAAACACCTTCACCTGAATACTGATCACACACTGTCACAAATCTGCAATCATCATCAGCTCCCCTTCAAAAACACACACCTCACTTCACTCCAGGGTCCAGTCTCGTTGATTCGAAGTGGACTCATTCTCTCTCTCTCGACATCCGTGAGATTCAGCTAAAGTATTCCCTACTTGTTGAACTTACCTCCTGTGTTTCCTCCAGTGTGTTCTCCTGTGTTCCTCTCCTTAGTCTGCTCCTGTCATCGGCTCCGTGGATTCCCATCGACCCCCTCATTGAGGTGTGTGCTGTCCTCTGTCACTCTTCCACGATT